CGTGCTTCGCATTGTTAACGGGATTAGTGACGTCACCCCCCACTTCGTACTCTGCCGTTGCCGCGGCAGCTTATGCAATCGCAATCTTTACCGAGAACACGCATGCGGGGAGAGCTACGTGCTTCGCATTGTTAACGGGATTAGTGACGTCACCCCCACTTCGTACTCTGCCGTTGCCGCGGCAGCTTATGCAACCGCAATCTTTACCGAGGAAACGCATGCGGGGAGCGCTACGTGCTTCGCATTGTTAACGGGATTAGTGACGTCACCCCCCACTTCGTACTCTGCCGTTGCCGCGGCAGCTTATACAACCGCAATCTTTACCGAGGAAACGCATGCGGGGAGTGCTACGTGCTTCACATTGTTAACGGGATTAGTGACGTCACCCCCCACTTCGTACTCTGCCGTTGCCGCGGCAGCTTATGCAATCGCAATCTTTACCGAGAAAACACATGCGGAGAGCGCTACGTGCTTCGCATTGTTAACGGGATTAGTGACGTCTCCCCCCACTTCGTACTCTGCCGTTGCCGCGGCAGCTTATGCAATCGCAATCTTTACCGAGAACACGCATGCGGGGAGAGCTACGTGCTTCGCATTGTTAACGGGATGAGTTACGTCACCCCCCACTTCGTACTCTGCCGTTGCCGCGGCAGCTTATGCAACCGCAATCTTTACCGAGAAAACGCATTCGGGGAGCGCTACGTGCTTCGCATTGTTAACGGGATTAGTGACGTCACCCCCCACTTCGTACTCTGCCGTTGCCGCGGCAGCTTATGCAACCGCAATCGTTACCGAGAAAACGGATGCGGGGAGCGCTACGTGCTTCGCATTGTTAACGGGATTAGTGACGTCACCCCCCACTTCGTACTCTGCCGTTGCCGCGGCAGCTTATGCAATCGCAATCTTTACCGAGAAAACGCATGCGGGGAGAGCTACGTGCTTCACATTGTTAACGGGATTAGTGACGTCACCCCCCCCCTTCGTACCCTGCCGTTGCAGCGGCAGCTTGTGCAACCGCAATCTTTACCGAGAAAACGCATGCGGGGAGCGCTACGTGCTTCGCATTGTTAACGGGATTAGTGACGTTACCCCCCACCTCGTACTCTGCCGTTGCCGCGGCAGCTTATGCAACCGCAATCTTTACCGAGGAAACGCATGCGGGGAGCGCGCTGCGCTACGTGCTTCGCATTATTAACGGGATTAGTGACGTCACCCCCCACTTCGTACTCTGCCGTTGCCGCGGCAGCTTATGCAACCGCAATCTTTACCGAGAAAACGCATGCGGGGAGAGCTACGTGCTTCGCATTGTTAACGGGATTAGTGACGTCACCCCCCACTTCGTACTCTGCCGTTGCAGCGGCAGCTTATGCAACCGCAATCTTTACCGGGAAAACGCATGCGGGGAGCGCTACGTGCTTCGCATTGTTAACGGGATTAGTGACGTCACCCCCCACTTCATACTCTGCCGTTGCCGCGGCAGCTTATGCAACCGCAATCTTTACCGAGAAAACGCATGCGGGGAGCACTACGTGCTTCGCATTGTTAACGGGATTAGTGACGTCACCCCCCCACTTCGTACTCTGCCGTTGCCGCGGCAGCTTATGTAACCGCAATCTTGACCGAGAAAACGCATCCGGGGAGCGCTACGTGCTTCGCATTGTTCGCGCGCGCCTTATCAACTATCATGCGGTTTTGCCACTTGCTTTGCGGTTTTCTTATTGAAACGAGTGCCAAAGCCACATGATAGATGATAAGGCGGACGTGAACGACGATAGGACGCGCGCGATGGTTTTCTGTTGACTACTGTTCTGTCGACGGACACGAAAAAGCCTGACCAACGAGTCATAAGCGGCATCCAATGCACAAGCAGTATGTATATACAAATAGTTACGTTTTATCTAAATAAGATTAAAACAACTTAGAATCATGAAGTGAAACAACACTATCCGGTACTACATTTCAATCTCGCACCACGCGTGAGAAAAAAGAAAATTGAAACAATATTTATTAAATGAGAATTTATACAAGTAATGCAAGTGCTTGTTGCCAGTGATACGCGCTCGCGTTTCTAAGCTTCCTACGTTTGTTTGTGCAAACGTACAAAGCTTATATATTTCAAGACAAATATATTTCGCATACACCACGCAGTTATAGTCAGTGAAGCTAAAGCAACTGCTTTCTACACATTGTATGTAGAGCATCAAAATACAATGATTTATTGCTGTTACAGAAAAACTTCACTTCTAAGAATGAATATGTAAGTGTGTATTGATATCCATGCTGAATTGACCTGAGACTGGGGTAGAGAGGAAACATCAAGACGTAGAAAGGACAGGAAATAGACAGGACGACGTCTCAAACTCAGCTGAGTTTGAGACGTTCTGTCTATTTTCTGTCCCTTCTACGTTTTGATGTTTCCTCCCTACCCCAGTCTCAGGTTAATTCAACATAATTAATATTCACCAGTTCGCCTGCATCCTTACCATTTTTTCTGTGTATTGATCTTTATTTATATCTTGATTCAGAAATACATTTTCTTCAAATTTTCGTTTCTAAAATTATATATTGCATGCGCACGTTCCTTCACGTTTTTCAATTACAACATGTTAAGCATGAAACAGCAAAATGTTCCCTGGCTAGGCGCATGAATTTTGAAAGCCCACTTAATACTCCAAATAAATGAAAACCCACTATGCATTATCTGTTTCTATCAAAATTTAATTTGGCACACCAAAGGCTGAAATTAAGATTGATATCTCACATTGAAAGAGCTACAGAAGTTTTCGTGTGTATCACCTGTATTTCTTTGCTGTTTTCTAATCAATAAAAAACTCAAAATTTCTAATAGAGCCATCATAATACAAACTGAATTTCTAATTATGGTCGCTTACAGGAGCGGCAGTAAACAACATATTCCGAATGCCTCGTGTTTAATAAAATGCACTCAGATATGTGGTTTGAGACACAACGTGAAGATAAATCTGTGAGGCATAAGTGAATGCCAAAGACACAAATTTCTCCAGCGAGTTCACTCCACCGTGACTTCATACCAGCAAAAACCCAAACAACCAGGAGAAAAATACGGTAGCTTGTGTTAGATGCCCACATTCTTCAATAAAATTCCGCGAATAAAGAATGCACTTTCTTATGTTCACGCAGTAGAACAAAGATTTAATTTCAATTCGCTGATACAACGTAATAAATCATTTGAATTTGGGCTATATATAATGGCATTCACTCTAACCAGATAGAGATAGTGAGTTACGCGAAGGCAATATTTTCTACAAGTTGGCTGCTGGTTAACTTATATCACTTATATCTTATAATTAAATGGGTACCAAGATTAATAAGTGCTCCATTCGCATGCTTTCCCTGTAACAGATTATTTTGTTAAAAACAAATTTTTGCCTCGAATTGCAAACGTTTTTGTTGACGTTTCTATTTAGTGAAAGACGAGTTCACCCTTATTAAAAGAGCGATTATTTCACTCACTTTTTATTTACAATTTTTTTTTTTTTACTTTTCGACATTATTGTCACAAATGACAATTGACGAGGACACGAAAACTGAAACAAACTAAACGTTCAATGGGGTGAACTTGTGCCCAAAACAAAATAGAGAAAGCCTAGCGTCGAAGGCGTCGGTGGTCAGCAGGGTCAGGCGCTGGGGAGAGACTGACTCCGGCCCGCCACGCAGAGCCCCTTGTACACCCGAGTTCTTCTGGAACAATCGGCATACAAGGTTCGGAGTGTAGAACATTCTAACTTCGAATAAGCAACAGGGTTGGAGCCAAGCACGACAGCCGTTCCGCCACGGACGCGCTTGTTCGGAGACGTGCGTGGCAATAGGTTAAATATATGATTGGTACCATTTAAACGGAAGCGTCAGGAAAAAAGCTGCCCTTAAGTAACACAGACGCGAAAGGCAAAATGCACCCTGTAGGATCAAACAGTATGAATGCGTGATGGCTTAGAAAGATTGAACAGATATTTTAACTCAGAGTTTGTTTAAGGGCTTGTACCACAAAAAAAAAAAAAAATAAGTCTCGACATTACAAAGAAAAACCGTCGCTTTAAAAAAAAAATATGGCACAGAAACTATTACATGCCCGCCAAAATGACCAAATTTACGTCCCGCTAGACATAGCGGGCGGTGTTCATTCAACGTGGTCAGCATGATGGTCGTCACGTGTCATCAGGACGTGTCATTGTGACATGACCTCGCGCCAGATCACGTGACAGCGTGATATCGGGACGTAACTCGTTGAGGTGTCGCGTGTTTTGAAGTCAGGTGACCTATCGTTCGTGTCACGTTAACCCAGAGCAACTCACTACCCACGTTCTCTGTCTGCCGACATTATTCGTAGAATCAAGCCTACACTCATGTCCTTCAGAAATGCCTGTGGAACAAAAATGCAGAACGAACCACGTAATCTTCGAGAGTTTAAGTCTATGCTCGCGGACAGCCTTCTGTTGCTGTATACACAGCTATGGGCGCGCGAGCGCTTACGCATCTCAAGCGCCCATCAAAGATGCGCACTCCTCGCTTCTTCTGAAACGCCACAGGAAGCTGGCCGAAACCATCGTTTACCCTAAGGCTTTGCGTACCCAAAGCTTTTTGGTACGCTATTTTAGAACTGTATCTTGCTGACGAAGCGAGCGCGATATTTTTCGGCTTTTGTGTTGTGACGGAGAAACGCTATTCTAGAGCTATCTTGCGTAACGTGCCCTAACGTTAGCACTAAATTAAGCGCTAACGTCCTCTGAAATTTGATACCTTAATTCAGAAATCTTTGTTGTAGTTATATTGGATCATTTCTTGTTTCTTCAATGGGATATTTTAGTTGACGGTCAGTCTAAACTCACTTGCCATACTCTTTTGACATCCTATGGAACATAATCGACATAGTATTTGCGTTGCGTTTCGATAAAAAAAAAAACTAATAGATTTATAAGCAATCACCCTAAAAGATTTTTCTACCGTTAATGTTTTAGCGGCAGGAGGATTTCTTGCAACATATGATGGATGCCCGAGATGCTAGCATTGTAGCCACGGATGAAGTAACACGGAATGACGAGAAGCTCTTTGACCTTGAATCGGAGACGAAGCCTTTCACTAGAGCAGCTAAAGGTACGTGTTTATTCCTCGCATATTCCTCGTTTTACGGGACAAACTGCTCATGCAGCATGCAGCGATCACTTTATGGGAAATCTTTTCGACATAAAGGTCTGTCCCATATCCTCCGTAGTGTTTTAATGCCTGCCTCGCCCTAACTTGGCCAACGACCAAAGGTACGGTTCCAGCGAGCCAACCAATGTGCCGGAGCGACACACGTGACTATACTTTATCTCACTGGTAGCCCGCAGCGCTGTCAAAGCCGGGGGCGAGAGGAATGAGGAAAGCAGCATTTGGTGCGACTTCTGAATGACGGGCTAATCTTCAACGGAGACAAGCGACGGCTGGGGCACTTCAAGAGAGGGCACAGACTAACCCCATTTTCGGAATACCCTGGCTTTACTCTTTCCGGCCTGGTATTTCTCATCTTTCAAAGTAGCTACTGAGAAAATGGTAAATAAATGGGATACCAAAACCAATATTAAAATTTTACCGCGCTCTCTCACGGACTGACGTCACATGTATAATCCTCAAGACGAACGAGCAAACTAAAAAAACAGTGTTTTTTGCATGTTTTTTTTTCTGTGCGTTTCGGTGGCGGGGATTTAACGGGCACTAATTTCACACCGCCAAACGTCCTGAATTACGTCGGTAATAAGCTGTAATGCCCCCCTATTGTCCCATTATACAACATATGACGTCACGTTTTTCAGTGTTACGAGTGGAGTCCCTCAGCCTCTCAGACCGAACTTAAAAGTTTAATAAGTTGGCGAAAAAAAACGTATTGTGACTTGACATTTTGGTCACTAGTTTGGATGAGTTTATAAATGTGTTGAACCCATTTTCAAGCAAATCAGTAGCAATCCAAATTTCGCTGGAGCTCCCGTTTCAGAGGCCAGTTCCTCCTTCCCCTCTTCTCCCTTGGGTTACGCCAACACAGCCTAGAAGACAAGGCCATACTGCTGACACTTTTGCGTCACCATCGAAGGCCAACGCTGGACACACATTGGAAACGAGTGCTGCGTCAGAACGTTGAGGCAAATCGTCCTGTCCAGCCTGTGCCCAGCGTTGGCTTTCGCTGATGATGACATCTCTATCAGCACTGCGGCTTTCTTATTTAGGAGGTGTTGGTTACGCTCTCGCACCTGTACCTTTTGTAAGGGCTGTTGCGTGTTTTTCCTCCGTTACTCTGATTGGCTCGAAGGGGCCATAGCTTTCGTTCTTTGTCAAGTTACGGTGAAACCAACCATACCTAATTTCACCAATCGCTGTGTTTTTTTTTGTGTTTTTTTTTGGCCTGATGTTTTTTCTTATTTTGTCACTTCTATTCTTTTCTCTCTGTTGCTCTCAATTTTTTTTTCTTTTCTTTCCTACTCGCTTCATTATTTTTATTTTGCTTTCTTGTACCCCTCTCGAATTCTTCGCATCAGCGTAGTCCACTCAGCTCTCTACTCCATTGACTACTGATCAGTCCTGAAATCGTTTTATTTCCAGTCATTTCTCTAGATTGGAATAAAGTATCTTTGATCGTTCTGTTTGTTTCGTTTTCTCTTAAACTGAGCGTCGTTCACTATGGCCGTGTTCCAAGATTAACTCGATCCTACTCCAGGGTAAGGGTTTTGTGCCTTGGCGTTTGGAAACCTGCCCACGTCCAGCGTCGCTTTATCTGTGTTATCACGAGACACGACCCACCGGAGTAGCTCGGATCCATTTGGGTGAGATTTGGAACACAATCAATGCACTGAAGGCTGCATGTTGTGCAATCACGCAGGGTCGCACCACCCCCACATGCTGATATGTAGCTACACCGTCACCTGTGTCCGGCATAACTTATTTTGTCACGTTTGAGTGAGAGCTAGCTGTAAGCAAAAAAAATTATTAGGCCAAAGACCCGCGAACGATCAATTATACGACCAGTATTACTTACGAATTTTAAATAACATAATGAATATTGCTCCAATTTTCTAATATTCATTGTTTCTCGGACTACTGTAGGCTTAACCGAAGACGAGGCCATGGCTCAGTGCATTGTCTTCTTTGTCGCTGGTCAAGACACGACGTCATCTGTTATCTCCCAGACACTCTACCTCCTTGCGCTGCATCCCGAGATTCAAGCGAAGCTCAGAGAAGAAGTGGATGATTGTTTCGAGCGGCATGTAAGGCGCACGATGCATCTGTGAAACAAAGTCAAACATGCGCACTTCTTATATTTTAATATTCAAAAATGGAACGTATCTATTTCTTTTTGGCGTAATCGCCATTATCTAGGTAAACATATAGTGCCTTAGGTTGTTGTTCGTTGTCGTTGGTTACTGGGGTCTCCTAATAGATTTTAGCGTGTGTTAGGTTAATCCCCCAGCAAGCCCGACGGATAGAAATATTGCCAAGTGGTACTTGTACTGTTTTTGGAAGCTTTATCAGTACCACTGGAGGCATACCCTACTCAGGAGGCTCAGCTAGAGATGGATAATGTTAAATATAAAATGATAAACTTGAAACGTATTAATAATTTTTCTGCAGAAACCACGGCGTCTGCGTGAGAAGAAATCCTGCCCCGATATTTACGAGCGAGAATATATTTTATATTTTGATATTTCAGCCTCGTGTCGCACAGAAAGAAAACCGGTCACGGAATAGGCAGAAAGACATGTTTTCCGTGCGAAACCTCTCAAAATATGAGGCCCTGCAGAAAATCAGCCATTTCTGTTAGGTCCTTATTTAGAACTTTTTTTCGCGTTCCGTCCATTGACATCCACGAAAAAAGAGCCGAAACGCGCACCTCATCTCGCCCCACCGCCGTCTCCCTCAACACAACAGAGTCCATCTGCAATGGCCACCGTCACCGTGCCAACAGAGAATCTGCTGAATGGACGCACCCATGAGCGCAGATTCTGAAGCCAAGAACAGCCGGCACCATTTGGTTATCGTCATCTGCTAATATCAACGCGGTAGCACTAGCTTGGGGCTCATGCTACGAGCGATCACCCCTTGTTGCGCTCCACTCGAAAAAATTCTGTTCTAATCTGAGGCCCGAGATCGCAGCAAGCCTCGTCGGAGCCGCACGGGGTTCGGCGGGCAACAGGTTTTCGGCCTCATCGCCGACTCCCGCACTATGGTGCCTGCACCGGCGTGTCCGGCTTCGGCTATAGCGTTGCCGTGTTGACTTAGCAGACGATGTACGAAAAAAAAAATCGGGGCTCCAATCCACGCTTTGGAGGTGGTTGGTCAGCGAAGCTGTGGTACCACCTGCAACGATTGCCTACTGCACTACTATACGAAATGCCGCCGCAGGTCGCATTGCCGTTTCTTTTCCCTCTCCTAGTATTCACGCTGCTCCTAGGGAGTTCTAACTATGCCTGGCCTATTCATCGCGGTGCTGCAGAAATCAGTTGCTATGCTCTGTTTGATCTCACGTTTAAGCTCAGCGGATGTTACGAGCCATCGGAGCCAATCGGAGGCCGTGTGAGTGTCACCTGACCTTAGAGAGGGGGCACAGCGACGCGCGGGAAGCGTATCACGGGCCGCAGAACGGGATAGGCAGAGATAGCTCGTAGCATCCGCGGCGTCCGGACGTAAGGGGAAACGGGGCGTTAGGCGGGTTCTTTTTTTATCTATGAAAGGCTAGTGACGTCACTACGTGCTTCGCATTGTTCGCAGGCGCCGTATCATCCATTATGCGGTTTGCACTTCACACGAAACTTCGAATGACGTCAAACACTTTCGAAGTAGCTGCAAACCTAATCTTTACCGGAACGCGTGGGAGGGTGTTCCTATTGGTCACACGCGCCTCATCATGCATCATGTGGTTTTGATGCATGTTTTGTGGTTTTCTTTATTGAAACGGATACAGAGCTGTATGTTGTATGCCTGATTTCAAAGGAGATATGCTGTTTTGCCTTCAATTGTTCGCCGGGAGTTTTTTTGCTTACAACGACGGCACAAACATTTCCTTGTCTGGTAGAGGTATACAGCTTCGCTGTAATAGCATCGGCCGTTGCTGGCTTCAGACGTCGCGTTTCTGTGTGCGTCGCCATGCTGACGGTGACTATTGTAAATGAACTCTTTACAAGGGAGAAGATGGCAGTGTGCCGAGATCAGGCACATGTTAGGGCTCTTTGCCGTGTTTTTTAGCGGGCGTAAAAGAAAGAGTGCGAAATAATACTTAACGCAGAAATCAGGGTTTTTGATATTTCTAGGAGTTCTGCACAAAAAACATGTCTCAGCTCAAATGTGGACATTTCTTTACAGCAATATGAAGCTAATCTCCCAATGCGTCAAAAAGAGTTTATCCCAAAAACTTGCCTGTTACATTATACAATTGTTTTCTCATTGCTTGCTTCCGTTACCTTTTTTACCGCAACATGAAGTGTTATTGAAATATTTTCTTGAATTACTTGAAAATGCTATTTGATTTGTTTTAAATTCAGTTGGTTGTATAGAGTTAAGACAGAATTAGTGAAGTGATGCAAGCTGTGCGTCATATCGACGAATATATTATGAGTAACTAATAAAATCACTCCCTCTAAATATACCATTAGTAAATAAATATACAGACAATTCACCTAATTAAAGTTTTTCTGGTTATGCATTTTCATTCCTCAAGATAATGCAAAAGAATGTTAAGATTTTCCGAATTAAATATCATCGAAATCAATCGATTTTCACCGCAAGATACATTTTTCGTTATTAAAAACCAATTTTTATATAAATAATTTTTTTTTTGGGGGGGGGGGGGGAGGGGGGCAACTGCTTGTGTGAAAACATTGATGCTTAATACTTTCTTTAACATAAATAAAGGGACCAGAGCCAAGCCTGGATGTTGTTTCCAAGCTCAAGTACCTCCACGGGGTGGTGTCCGAATCAATGAGAATGTTTCCTCCCGGACCTAGGTAGGTCACTGCTCAGTACTGCTCGGTGAATCAGTGAGAAAATATATGGCGGTTATTTGCAGATATTTTACTTGACATTAATGTTCTAGGTTGGAGCGGTCTGCTCTCAATGACTACGTTCTGGGTGAGACCGGAATCACAGTACCTAAAGGCTGCTTGGTTGCCGTGCCCGTCTATTCCATGCATCATGACCCGGACAACTTCCCCGATCCTGCCACGTTTGACCCAAACAGGCCTGTGTGAATTTTGATTATTTCATATTTGGTAGTAATTTACCTTTTTACCTGCCTTGTCACGTCATTCTATCGGAGAAAACAGTAACAAATACCTACTGTTGTTTACAGAATTGATTATATTTGCATTTTCTGATGAGGGCCACTTTTGTGTAGATTGCAGTTCATAGAGTCGTAACTTTTGGGTGATTACTGTTTCAACCAGAAGGCGATGTATTGAATGTATTGGAAGGTTTTTTTTTGTTTTTTTTGTGTGTGTTTTCGTAACAGGTTCAGTGATGAAAACATGGGCAGTATTCGGCCGTACACATACCTTCCCTTTGGAGCAGGACCTCGAAACTGCATCGGCATGAGGTTCGCCCTCCAGGCCGTCAAGCTGTCCCTCCTGTACTCCGTTCACAGTGTCCAATTCGTTCGTACAGAAAACACACAGGTAAGCATAACTTCGCGCAGTTTCGTTGTTTATGTCAAATAAAATAAGCGTGTTTTAGAAAGTAGCTCTTAGGCGCCCGTTTCCGCGTTGAGCGGCGTCGTCGTCGGCGTCGCCGTCGGCATAACCGCAAATTGCATTATGGGACATCTCCCATAACAACGTCACACGTCACGTTTGACGTGTGACGTCATTATGAAAATTTCCCGTCACGTGTGACGCTTCCCTTTATGACGTCACACGTCACGCACGTGTGAGGAAAAATCGTCAAGAGGAAAAATTTAGCTGAAAATTTTTATCCGCTAAATTTAGCCCGCATATTTTGGGTACATTTCCCGCCAAATTTAGCGGAAAATTGTTGGTCACTTTCTCGCTAAATTTAGCGGAAATATTTCTCCGCTAAATTTAGTGGGAAAATTTTTGATTAATTTAGCGGGAAATTTAGCAAACATTTCCCGCTAAATGGGGGGGGGGGGGGGGGGGAGCAGGAGAGGAGGGGAGGGAGGTACGGAGGGGGAGGAGGGGCATAGCTTCTCCTCCGTACCCTCCTCTTTCCAGAGAGCTGCGCTCTAGTTCGGCATTACAGAAAACTGTAAACGTGTTTCATTCTTTTGTATTCACTTCCATGTTCTTTCCAGATGCACCTTGACTTTGCTGGTGGGTTGGGGGTACTCAGACCCAAGCACATCACAATCGGAATAAGGAAGAGAACTGCGAAAAACATTTATACTTCTGACTTATGTTCCTGTTGATCAGTTGATGTTCGCATGGTTTCGGGAAACTGTTTCAATGTTTGCAAAGTTAAGCTGTCCTTCATACGATGATGTTAATGCAATCGTTACGTATAGCGCGCCTCCGATGAATAGAGTAATTTAACATCGAATGAATCTTTCGGGTCCCATCGAGAAAAAAAAACGCGGTTTTTCGGCCCGGAAAAATTAGCTACACATTGCGGGAAGTTGAAACTCCAAGAGAACGTGACGCTAGCGGTTGTGGTAGAATTTAGAATGTTTGAAAATATGGTGTTATCTGGATCTAAAGATACAAGACGAAATCAAAATTTCTTCATAAGCGGACGTCCACCTAATCCTAATATTCCTAAAGCCAAAGCAGATTACATTATAGATGCCTATAGGATTAATGTGTGCAGAAAAAATCTTCTCAGCAAGAGAGCCGATAACGTTTTCTGACCTCCTGACTTCTGAGAAAAAAAAATGTGCTAGGGGCAGGCATCCATGATGTCGTTTCTTGGTTTGATGAATATTAAGTTTAGGTTGACGTCGTCTCACATATATTTTTTTTTTCTTTTATCTCGTATTACTTGACACGGGTAACGTCATGTTCTCAGACTTTTGCGTTGTATCACTTCCGCTAGGGTCCCATTCTCACGGGGTTTCAGCTTTCTGCGATGCGTAGTCCATTCCTACGGGCCGAGATACCGCGTTTGATTTTCTCGATTGAACCCGGTAGAACTTTAACTTGATGCCAATGAAAGCGTCTCTTTAGGCCATTTCGCATGCACGCAATGCGACATTTAAAATGCACTGAATGATAAAACCAAGCATGTTTGGACTTGATCGCTCAAATACATACCGCCAACGGTTACTTAGAACCCGAAAAACCGTCAACGCCAATACAAAAGAAGCGTCCGTCGATTCGTTTTTGCTCTAAGTTTGCTTTGAAAATGCTTGACGCGGCCCCACCAATTAGCCTGGACAAAACCTTCTGGAACTCTTAGCGGTACTCAGGAAAACGTAGCTTTGTCAGGGGTGACTATTGATCACAGGCCCATCAGGACGTGGAAGAGCGTCATGAAACCGCCTTGCCACTCATGATTCTCAAAGCACACGCGCCGCCACGGCCGCCGCCTCACGACGCTGCCAGTGTGGAACAGCGGACGATCGTGCGTTTATCCAACTACGGATCGCGACTGTTCGTTATTTTCACATAAGTAGCAGACGAGCGAACAAAAACTCGCGGATCAGAAGTTCCTTGCGCTACTTTTGAACTACAGTCCAACAGTTGCATTGTCGAGTTTCTTTACGACGAGTGTGAACCACGAGCTCTTCGCTTGAACACGATGACGTGCACTTGACGAAACGGTAAGGGTCGGAGCAAGCACACGTACTCCCGTTTTTTATCATAGAGTTTCGACCACCTTTGATTATGTTTGGGTTAGAATAGCACGTATAAACCGGAAGTCTGCTGCGTGTCAAAACACTCTATTCGTAAGGTCGAATAAGCGATCGGACGGCAGACGACGCACAATGTTTACGCCCAAGGAATAAGAGCACTCGTAACCTTTTGTAGGCTGATATACCCCAGAAATAATAAACCGCGAACGTTTTGTGCGCTTTATGTAGAAATATAGGCGTTAGCACTCGTTGATTATGGGAACTTCATTTTAGGTGTAATGTCTAGTAACCTCTATAAAAAAGGTGTTTTTTTCGTTGGATTTTGTCTTAAATTTATAGTCAAGTACAGAAAGTGTCCTATCTGCACGGGAGGGCTCGGAATGAATCCTAAGAGGAAACTAGATATTTCATCACGTGAAGGTTTTCTCAAAAGCCGCCGGGAAAAGAGGTGTATGCATGAGAGGCAAGAAAAGAAGCCCTTGGATCAAGCGTCCTCGAAGGACTTCCACTGACCACAGAGGCAATGGCCAGCCCCACTGGCTGCCCGACTTACTGAAGAGGCCACAGGAACTGCCAGTACTTAAAAAAATCACCTCTTGGCTTTCCTCTACTGCGCCGCCTAAGAGCTGACTGACGTTTTTCTTTTTTTTTTTTCTTTTTTTTTTTTCTTTTTTTTTTTTTAGTCGAAAGCTTTTGCGATGAATTGGGTGTTTTAAAGAAAAGTGGGGGTGACCTAAGAACTCCCTGAAATAAACCAGTAAGATTTCTCACTGGTTATTGTACGATTCTTCCAAGTTAAAAGATTCTAGGTCATGAACAGTAAATTTGTTTTCATAAATTGATATTCTTCAGTGTTGCTTTAAACGTCCGAATAAAAAAAAAATTCTACGAATAATTGTGTAACTTCTGGGGTAGTAGCTATCAACAGAGGTACCGACAGAGGAACCCAAGGGTTAACTCAACAGCGGCGGCGGTCTCAGGAGAGACGTCAAACCTAGTAGCGCGGTCCCCACATCTCCGCGGCAATATAGACGATATTTAGGGCTACATTCGCAAGGGTCGGTTCGATACATTTTTCCGTTGGTGCCGATGATCGCTATCTTGTCTCACTTTCTCGAATATGGCGGAGAAAGAGGACACGCGTACCAGGAAGGACAGAGTGCGATAGCACTCTCTCGAAATAACTGCAATGTCCCCATCCATAATGCTCTCCGCGCCGGCAAGGTAAAAAAAACAAAAACGTCTCTTACTGTCACACGTTTTCCGGCTGCGAGGCAGGCACGAGGTTCCGGCCTGGCAGCCAGAAGGCGGGAGAGAGAATAGTTGCGTATTTACAGCCTCGAAGAGGTCAACCTGCTGACTTCCCCGAGGCGGGAAGGCCTCGGGGAAAGACTTGCTATCTCTTGCGCGGCCACCGGACGAGTCCCCCTCCCGAAAGAGGGAAGAGACGAGGCGAAACATCCTCGCCTTCCGGTCGTCAGGTGCATCCGAGCAACAACTCCTACAAGCTAGCGCACTTCTCATGACGTCGCAAAGGAAGGCCATCGGAGGCGCGCGTCAAAGCGCCGTAGCGAAGGCAACGCGCCTGGGTCGAACGTCGTAATAACGCGATTTTAGTCACATACGACTGTCTTAATTAGCTCGAATGAAAGCTGCACGTAGCAACTGGGCTAGAAAACATTTTATGGCGCGGGCAAAATATTACACCGCTGAATTATTGGCATGCAACGACACGAGGTAAGCGTGTAAGACGTCTACAGAAAAATGGGATTGTTTTAAGTGGAAAACATTGAGTCACGCAATTATTGCTGTAGGAATGCATAGTTTATACGAAAATACTTGGACAAAATGGCGAGACACGCAGTGATTGAACACAGCAAAACAGATCACAGTTAAAAATCAGGTAGACGTAGTCAACGCGGACACGGCTAGACAAGTCTCACAATCATGTAAGCGACTGTTAATGCGTGTTCACTGAATTCTCGGCTGGGGTCGGCAAATCAGCTCGCGACGCTCGTGTAGTCACTCAGGACCGCGAGCTCACTCAATTTTATGATATAATTTAATGAAAATATATTAACTTATCCGTGTGCCGGGTACTAAACCCACCTACTATTGTTACCCACGTTACAGTGAAAACTTGAATGTTACCACACATATTTACAACTGTCGAGCCAATTTCACACGGATATCAAAACGAAGAACGAGATTCCCATCTATCACGAGGTTAAAGCAGCCGCAGCACTCTACTCGCGTTCTACATGACCAACAAAGCCCGTAAATAAGTCGTTTCTTAACCGTCGATCGTATCCATACGTCCCGCAATACCTGCCACGAAAACATTTGAACACGAACTTCCAATACTGCTTCTCTCCGCCGAGGGAGAGAGGTCAATCGAAAATTGGTGCGATCGTTGACAAGTGGGGGTCCATATCACGTGAGTGAATGTCGTTTAAGCAAACAGCAACATTTGAGCGAATCGACGTTTTAGCGAGTAACGGGGGCGCGTGTTAAGCCCCCCCCCCCCCTCCCCTCCCCCAGCGCGTCGCGGCGACAGTCTGCTGCGGCTCATTATAAAACTGTGAACCCACTTGGCCCACCCGTAAACGCCGACTATTCGCTAAAGTGGCATTCGGTGAAACGTGGACGTTCGCTAGAACGTCATTCGATCAAGTGAGTGCCTCCCGACTAGTGTCAACACATGTCACTCACACCGTAGCAGGACCGCGAATCCACGTAGATGTCATAGTATCAAAATAACACAAAAGACCCACACACAAAAAAGCGGTAAAAGCGAAGGACGAAAGGCTTAACGTCGTCGACCCATCCCCTGCTCGTGTTCGATCCCTGCGGCGGTGATGGGATTTTTTCCGTTTCCCTTCTGAACTGCTTCGGCGTTCCCTCTCAGATAGTGAAGAGCTCACACAAAACGTAAATTTACCAGAATCGGAGACCGTGTGAGGGCAGAAAATGTCACTGCCGGAGTCGGTTTATTCGAAAGGGGAGCTGCGAGACTGCACTGTGGTCCCGCGGTTACGGGATAATCAGAATATTACTTTGGTTCTTTCAACCTTGGTAACACATATATGTTTATATAATAAAATTCCAAGACTGCGCGTTTCAAAAGTATAATAATGTCGGAGAAACGAGCAGGAACAAACCATGTTACCTGAGTGAGCAGAAGACGCGGCCGGGGGAAGATTAACCAGAGCGGACGCCTATTCTCGACGACGCCTCCCTTCTCCGGCCATTGTGACGTCACGACTCGGAGCGCTCAGGCCTTAGCTTGTGGGAACCGCGTGTTCCCTGTCTTCTGGGTGGTGTCTCCCTCGCCCTTTTGGGAGAATGTGCCTCTGGCGCACCCTCTGATAATGATTGTGGACGCGGCCCATCTGCGGGATAAGCCACACCACCTACCACGGGCGCGTCCATTTCCCGGAGGCTAGATAAGCCGGCCACGAACGGCGGTCACGGCTCACTCTTGTTTGGGGAAGGCTCTCGTCGCGAGCCTCTTTCTTCTTGTGCTTCCCTCTCGACCCACGAATCTGCCCAATACGGCAGCGGGGACCCCCTCCAGGTGAATCTGTCTAATATGAAGAACGCCGACACTTTTCCGT